TGTAGGGCCTTGAGCACCCTCTGTTCTGCCTTGATAACCCTCAGCAGAGCCTGGATGACCCTCTGCTGGGCCTTGATGATCCTCTGTTCTGCCTTAATGACCCTCTGTAGGCCTTTGATGGCCCTCTGCAGGACCTTTTGCTCCCTCTTGTGGCATCTCATATGCCATGCTATGATGCAGTTTGTCAGACCATACGTGATGCGGTACATCATTACAGTCTCCACCGTGTACAGATAGAAGTTCATGAGGAGATTTAAAGGTACTCAAGTTCTACTCAGCTTCCTTAAGATTTAAAAGTATGCCTTATTGGTGATGTAGGAGGTGTCTTGTCCAGGCAAGGTCCTCGGTGATGTAAAGGCCTAAAAATCTGAGGCTGGGAACTCTCTCCGCTGTTATTCCATTGATAATCATGGGAGTATGATCCCAACCCTCTGGGCAGTCTTCAGTCCAGCACAGTCTCTTTGGTCCTCTTGCTGTTTAGGATGCGGTTGTTGGTGGAGCACCAGGTTGCCAGGTTTTCCACCTCTCCTCTATACACTGACTCATTTTAGAAGATCAGCTGTCATGTCCTCTGTGACCCTGATGATGGTGTTTGTCCTGTGGACAGGCTGTCATGTGTGAAGCAGACAAAAAGAGAGGCCCAGCACACCTCCTATGGGGACACCGGTGTTCAGAGTGACGGTGTAGGATGTGTAATTCCCCAACCTGACAGATTCATGGCATTTGGTTAGGAAGTCCAGGGTCTAGTTGCAGGTGGTGGAGTTCAGGCTGAGGTTTGGGCAACAGGCTCCTGGAGGTAACCATGCTGAAGGCAGAGTTGAAGTCCAGGAGGAACAGCCTGACCTAGGTTTTGGGTTGCTTCAGGTGCTCAGCGCAGTTGTCCTCTGTTGACCAGTTAGCTTAGCAGGTAAACTGGTGTTGATCCGGCCTGGCAGGAATGTCCAGCTTCATGTGGACTATGATTAAACTTCAAAAGCATTTCACAATCACAATCATTTATCATAAGATAAATTAAAATTCAGAGTCAATGGGTCTGACTGCTTGGTTTCATGAAAGTTGCAGCTTTGAAACAGGAAACACGAGTTTAAATATTTTAAAGATTCTTAAGATCTTTTAAGATTTTCTTATTTTCAATGCTGTGACTAAACGTTAATATGAAACCAGATGTAGCCTGACTTCGTTAACAGATTGTCTCTAATTGGCCAAAGATTGACCTCGTTAACAACTTTATTATCTCTGATTAGCCAGAGGTCGGCCTCATTATTAATAAATTTTGTTATGTATTAATCTTTATTTAACCAGACATATCCAATTGAGATTTATTGTCTCTGATTGGCCTGAGGTTGAACTCAATAAAATATTTATTGTCTCTGTTCGGGGTCTTTGGGCAGTCAGACACAAATCCTCCTGATTCTTCTGCTTCTGAAGAACTTTAATGTTTAATTTATTGCAGTCAGCTTCTTCAGGGTGGAAACCAGAGAAGTTTAAGGGTCACATGTCGGTCTGATAATAAATTTTTTCCACTCTGAGACAAATCTGTCTCCATCAGCTTAAAGATACTCTGCTGGATCTAAGTTCAAACCAAAGATGGACAGAGTTTTTGTCTCCTGCTGTTATCTGGACCTGCCATGTTGCATTTAAAAGCCAGAATATGAGCTTTAGGTAAAATAATAGACACATTGTTGGAACATGGCAATTGAAGCCAAAACAGACAGTGGCTTGCTGCAATATTAGTTTAAATATAAGAAAATGAGGCAGGCTAAAAAATAAAGTGCACCTCAGATCTTGATTCTGTGTTGGTATTTCTTTTAAGTTGTACAGTTTAGCTGTAATTTGTTTTCTGATGTTTCTTGATTGTGGGCGGGGCTTAAGTGCAAAAGACAGAGATGTCAGTCGATTGGTGGTCAAATCTACATATCCATTTTTTTATTATAACCCTCCAAAACCACATTTATTCAGAGAGAGAATAGAAAACAGAGAAAGAACCTTCCATCCTCCAGAACCACCTTTGATCTTCCTGGAGAACCAGCTGCTCTGTGTTGGAGCAGAACCAACCCAGCTGCTTCTCTCCTCAGTAAGAAATCAATCTTAGTAGAAACAGATCAGAGACTAACATCCACTGAGGACGTCCTGAGATTGAATCTGTCGTCCTCCTGCAGAACAAACATCAAACTGAGTGAAGTATTTCCTGCTTCAGGAGGAACTATTTATAGACTGACCATATATGGTCATCGGAGACGCTCCTGGCCTGTCCAGCATTCCTGTGTCGTCCTCGCTGCTGCTTGGCTGTGCACTGCAAAACCTTCTGAACTGCAGGGAACCCAAACACTTCCATGTTCCAACACAGAACGTGAACTGTGCACGTTCTATTCACAGTAAAACCTGCAGGGAACAGAAACATAAGAAAAAGCAAAAGGTTCAGTGGAAGAGTTTAAAAAAGAACCAGATCCAGACAATAAAACAGAACTTTGTCTGATCCGACACATCCGGTTCTGTCCTGTTAGAATGTTCTGTCTTTTACACACTGTGCCATGCTTTTAGAAGAAAGAACATATGTTAGTAATCATCATCTTAGTTTGTGATTTAAATGAAAATGTTACAGTCGGGGTCCAGAAGAACCTGTGGAGATACTTCATGTTCCTCTGCTGGATCTATAAGAACATGGTTTCCTGTATGATGGAAAAATAAATTATTTTAATGTTAGTCAGGCATGCTTGAACATACGCAATCAGTTAGCAAGAAGGCAACAGGAGATTGTTCTGTAAGGAGAACAAGGGAGAGTTTTGTAACTTGAACAGGAGAGTGTTCTGTAACGAGAACAGGGTATGTTCGGGAAAGAGAACAAGAGAACGTTTTGTAATGCAAAGATTGTTCTGTAATGATAACAGGAGAGCGTTTTGTAACGAGAACAGGAGAGTGTTCTGTAATGAGAACAGCAAACTGTTCTGTAACGAGAACAGGAACATGTTTTGTAACGAGAACAGAGAACATTCAGGAACAAGAACAGGAGAACATTTTGTAATGAGAACATTGTTCTTTAATGAGAACAGGAGAGCATTTTGTAACGAGGGCAGGAGAGTGTTCTGTAATGAGAACAGCAAAATGTTTTGTAACGAGAACAGGAACATGTTTTGTAACGAGAACAGAGAACATTCAGGAACAAGAACAGGAGAACATTTTGTAATGAGAACATTGTTCTGTAAAGAGAACAGGAGAGCATTTTGTAACGAGGACAGGAGAGTGTTCTGTAAAGAGAACAGCAAACTGTTCTGTAACGAAAACAGGAACATGTTTTGTAACGAGAACAGAGTACATTCAGGAACAAGAACAGGAGAACATTTTGTAATGAGAACATTGTTCTTTAATGAGAACAGGAGAGCATTTTGTAACGAAGACAGGAGAGTGTTCTGTAATGAGAACAGCAAAATGTTCTGTAACGAGAACAGGAACATGTTTTGTAACGCGAACAGAGTACATTCAGGAACAAGAACAGGAGAACATTTTGTAATGAGAACATTGTTCTGTAACGAGAACAGGAACATGTTTTGTAACGAGGACAGGAGAGCATTCTGTAATGAGAATATGAGAGTGTTCTGTAACGGGAACAGCAAACTGTTCTGTAACGAAAGCAGAATATCGTTTTACAACAAGAACAGGAGAACATTCCGAAGCAATAACAGAAGTGTTCTCTAATGAGAACAGGATAGCTTTATGTAATGAGGACAAGAGAGAGTTTTGAAATGAGAACAGAAGATCATTCTGTAACGAGACCAGGAGAACATTCTATAATAAGAACAGGAGAAGGTTCTGTAATGAGAACTAGGAAGAGTTTTGTAACTAGAACAGCAGAGCGATTTGTAAGGAGAACGGGAGAGCTTTCTATAATGAGAACAGGAGAGCATTTTGTAACGAGAAAAATAGAAAGTTTTGTAAAAAGAACAGGACAGCGTTATGTAATGAGAATAGGAGAGTGTTCTGTAATGAGAACAGAAGAACATTTTGTAATGAGAACAGAGATGGTTCTGTAAGTACAACAGGAATGTTCTATTACAAGAACAGGTGAATGTTTTGTAATGAGAACAGGAGAATTATCTGTACCGAGAACTGGAAGTTTTGTAACAACAGAATAACATTCTGTAACGAGAACAGTAGAGAGTTCTTTAACAAGAATGAGAGTGTTCTGTAACAAGAATAGAAAAAAATCTAACGAGAACAGGCTAACATTTTGTAACAAGAACAGGAGAATGTTTTGTAACGAGAACAAAAGAGCATTTTCTAATGAGAAGAGAAAAGCATTTTATAACGAGAAGGAATGCATTCTGTAATGAGAACATGAGAGTGTTCTGGAAAAAAAATAAGAATATTTTATGACAAGAACAGAGAACTTTCTGTAATGAGAAAAAGAGAGTGTTTTGTAATGAGAACAAGGGAGAGTTCTGTAACAAGAACAGGAGAGCGTTTTGTAACGAGAACAGGAGAGGGATTTTATCCTGATGCATGCTCCAGGTAAAAAAAAATCAACCAAACAAAGTCAGGTCCTCTGGATGGATTCTTCTTGTTGAAACATTTTGTATTTTATCTACAAAGTAAAAGACTTCTTCAGTCCGAGGAGCTACAATAAACTCTGTCTTATAAATAGCACCTTCTCTATAGTGGATCAACCTGCTGACATCCAGAACTGCTCACATGATAAAGGAGGATCATCAGCTTAACGACCCATCGTTAGTGCCCTGATGGCCGCTTGCTATTCACAGAGAGCTGAGGAGAACATTTTGTAAGAAGAACAGGAGTGAGTACGTTTTGTAATGAGAACAGGAGAAAGAAACATTAATTAACATAATTAACATTTTTAACAAGAACAGGAACGTGTTCTGTGACGAGAATAGTAGAACGTCCTGTAACGAGGAGAGGATTTAAAATTAGACCAAGAGAACGTATTCTAACAAGAACTGGAGAGATTTCTGGAATGAGAACAGGAGAACCTTTTGTGATGAGAACATTGCATTTTGTAATAGCGAGAGAACGTTTTGTAACGAGAACAGGAGAGTGTTCTGTAACGGGATCAAGAAAACGTGGTCTGACTCAGGACTCTGTGTTTGTCCATCAGGTGAAGCTCGGATAAAGAAGCCGACTCCAAAGACTCCACCCAAACAAGGTGAGGCACACCTGAACCTCCTCTAGAACAAACCCTTGAACTTTGTTCCACCAACAATCAGGAACCACAGCAGGAAAACATCTGGTTTCTCTTTTTATCCTGACTCAGGAGCTGATAATCAGTAATCAATAATTTGATTAAATAAAACTAAAGTGAAGTCAAAGTCCTTATCAGTCTGAGTCTAAGTCCCAAAACATCACCATGAAGTTTGTTCTGACCTGCTCTCTTCTATCTACCTGTATTGATCGTTAATTATTGTCTATTATTTATTGATTATTAATGTTTGTGTGCAGTTATGCCTCCTCAGATCCTGCAGTTCCCAGAGGACATGAAGATCCTGGCAGGAGAGAAGGTGGAGATCCTCTGCAAGTTCTCTGGAGCTCCGCCCATCAGCTGCACCTGGTTGAAGTTCAGGAAGCCAGTGAGAGAGAGACACACACACAGACACGCAAACACACACACGCTCAGGGGTATTGATCAGTGATCAGGTCCAGGTCTGCTGCAGGTCTGATGGAACGTGTCTGTGGTTCAGATCCAGGAGGGCTCCACTGACATCTCCATCGTGAGCAGCGACAACAGCAGTAAACTGACCATCAGCAGCGGGCAGCAGGAGCACTGCGGCTGCTACACCATCGAGCTGAGGAACCTCTACGGACTCCGACAGGCTGCCCTCAACCTCACCATCGTGGGTAAGAAACATCTGCAGCAGCTGCTGTTTGTCTTCATCCAGCTTCTAAGGGAAAGTTGGGCGTTGGCATTTCTCTACCATCTTTGAGTGGTACTGCTCTGACCCCCTTCTCTTCCTTAGATAAACCTGACCCCCCAGCCAAGGTTCCTGCAGCCTCAGACATCCGGCGGTCCAGCCTGACACTGTCGTGGTACGGGCCCACCTATGATGGAGGCAGCGCCGTGCAGTCCTACCACCTGGAGATCTGGGAGTCTGTAGAGCAGCAGTGGAAGCACCTGGTGTCGTGCAACAGCACCTCCTACAATGTTCAGGTGGGTTTGTGTCCACCCCCTTCGCCATGAAACGATACCTTCAGAGGTTTAACAGCAGGTTTTTGTTTGTTCTAGAACCTTCTTCCAGAACGTCAGTACAAGTTTCGTGTTCGGGCACAGAACATCTATGGTATTGGAGAACCGAGCGCCGAGTCTGAGCCTGTAACAATTGGACTGGTGGATGACGGTAAGAGAACTTCAACCGAACACAGGAAATATAACTCTGTAGACCAGGTTCTAGAGAAGAGTGGGTTCTAGTGGAGGAGAAGGTCCAATGTCTCTTTGTCACTAGCTGCAACCAGGAACATTGAATGGAACAGGCAACAGGTCAGGAAGAAATGGACCAGATCTATAGGTCCAGGAGGGTCTGAGGAACTTTTAACATTCTAATATTGAACAGAAAATGTATTCAAATCCAAAAAGGAATCAGTGGGACCTTTTAAATGAGTCTAACTGCAAATAACCATTTGGAGATGATGGACAGAACCCTGACCTGTTCTGGTACCCGAGTATTGTGCACAATGAGGTCCAACTGAGAAGTTTTTAAAAGAAAAAAACTAAAAAACATTATGAATTCTGGCATAAACTGATCCTCAACTCCTTCAGTCTGATGGTTTCTGCTTAATTAATCAGCAGAACTGAAGGAAACAAACAGAATGACCTTTGACCTTTCCTCACTGAGTTTTATTCAAGTTCAAGTAGGTTTATTGTCATTTCACCACATGTGGTACATGAGGTGAAATTAAATTATGCACATGGGGTCCCAGTTTCATCAAACAACAGCAAAAATATAAAATATAAAAAGAAACTGTAAATAATATATATATATATATATATATATATATATATATATATATATATATA